ACACACACACACACACACACACACCTCAGTTGTAACTGTGTGTGAGGACACTTTTGTTCCCCGCACTGGCAGGTGTCACTTATCTGACTTGGTACTTCAGAGGCGGGGAAGCTGAAAAGGGCATATTTCAGGAACATTATCACAGGAACAGCTCAGGAGGGACTGAAGGAGGGTATGGCTGCATTGGCACATGGTCCACAGGTCCACAGCAGAGGACACAGGACAGCAGTGCAACAGCTGGGCAGCTGGAAGGGTTGGCAAGGAGGCCACAGGACCTGAGAGGGCACTGGGCGACAGGACGGGGTTAAGGTCACTGAGGATCACCGGGGGCACAGGGAACGGGGGCAGAAGTTGCAATGTCTGCACAGGAAATGTGGACAGAGAGGGGCCCAAGGCAGTGAAGGCCCGGGCAAGAAGGACACACTCCTCTTCACCTGGGAGACTCAGACACCAAGCAGGGTCACTCTCTTTGAAACTCTCAGTACTGCATTAGGTTCTGTGTCAAAGAAGAGCACTAAAAATAGCTATAAATTGTCTGGTAAAATAATTTTCCCTTCCTTTCATTTTTCCTATTGATTGTCAATTCCCACCTCCCTGTCCAAAATGCCTCCTGGCCAGTGCACTGGGCCACCTGGCCTTGCTGCCGAGCGTGCATTGGAGGGAGGCTGGTTTTCACTTTAAAAGGATGTCTCCCTCTTCTCACTACGTAACAAAAACCACAGCTTACCTCAGCAAACACGCTGCTTACCACTCGAGAGACTTTTTACGGAATGTGAAACTCGAGTTTTTCCTGTGGCTCTTTTAAATGAAAAGATCCCTGCTGGTGGCGCTCAGAGTCGCTGCTGGGTGGGGTGGGGTGATGATGTGCAAGAGAAAGAAAGGAACTTTCTAAGGCCAGAAACACCATGTCCCTTGGGGTGCAGGTTACACAAGTACAGATGGTCAAAACGCACTCAGATCTGTGTATTTTACATGTAATATACTTTGAGTTTTTTTGTTGTTTTTTGTTTTGGTTTTGGTTTTCCCCTGGAACCAGGAATCAAACTCATGACCTTGCGCTTGCCAGGCAGGCACTGTGCCACTGAGCTAAATCCCCAGCCCCTGAGTTTTTTGTTTTTATTTAAAAGTTTGCTGTCCCAGCCTTGCTATGTATAGGGTCTTGCCACATAATCCAGGCTAGCCTTGAACTCACAGCGATCCTCCTGCCTCAGCCTCTCAAGTGCTGGGATTACAAGCATGTGCCACCATGCCTGGCTCTCTCTGTAGTTTTTAGAAAGTGCCAGGCCTTCTAACAATTAGGAAACAGATTTTTCTGAATTTATTTGTCTGAAATAACTATTTCTAGTCTCAACGACATTCAGAGCAACTCCCCAGTCACAAGCGCTCATTCTGCCTTGTCTCTTCTCAACTGTGTCTTTGAGTTTGCCATCTGAGCTCCCCAGGCAATGCCAATGCAAGGAGGGAGGACTTTGCTACCTAGGCCCTCGAGGCTAATGAGCAAGGCGAGGTTTCCCTTACCTCTCCAAAAGCACCTCTTCCAATTACTTTGATTATTTCAAAGTCCTCTCGATGAAGCTGCATTTCCTTCACCAGCTGTGTAAACGGCTTAGCTGTAAACAGAAAGTGTACAATTAACAACTTAGTTGAATAAACTCACACAATCCAAAAACTTCCTTGACTGAGGCATCCCACTAAGGTATATTTATTTTATTTTATTTTATTTATTTATTTTTGGAACTGGGAATCAAACTCAGGACCTCACAACTTGCCAGGCAGGTGCTGTGCCACTGAGCTATATCCCTGGCCTGTTGCACTTCTTTAAAAAGTGTACTTTATAAAATATCTAATAGAAGCTCCTGGAAGTCTGTTCATATGCTCATTAGTGTGGACGTTTCATCATCCACTAGGCTTCACTGTCTACTGTAACAAATATCAGTATAAACATTTACCAGTAGGAATCTTTTCATCTTTCTGGTTAAAGCCAAGGCTCACTACCGAGAGCACAAACTGAATCAGGTACGTCCTTGTCTGTGCTGAACACCAGTGCAGCAGCTCTGCACTCTGCGCTCCCCACGTCTGCACTGCATGAGCCACAGGGCAGCGAGAGAACTAAAGGCGCCTGCCATCCTCCAAGACGGCCAGGGTCCTGGGCAGGCCACGTGGAGTCCACTGACCAGGCACTTCATGCTCCGAGGACACTGGCCAGATACTCCCCACACCAACTCTGGGAGAGCAATTCTTCTATCCACATGCCACGGGTGAGGGCTCTGAGCCAGCTTCTGTGCATGTTTAGTGGGTTGCACAGTGATTTTTATTTCAAAATCAGGTCTTTATAGATAATAACCAATTTAAGATGAGGTCAGGTAGTAAAACACAGTGAGCTCTAAATTCAACTAGACTGGCATTTTCTTTTTTTTGCTGGGTGGGTGGGGTGGGTAGTAATGGGTATTGGTGGGCCTTCACACTGAGCCACGTACCCAGCTTTTTTCATCTTTAATTTTGAGACATGTCCTCACTATTCACCCAAGATGGGCTCACACTTGGGATCTCCCTGCTTTAGGCTCCCAGAGTGCTGGGGTTAGAGGTGTGAGGCTCCACACCCAGAGAGATTCGGACACAGAGGCAGCAGGCAAAAAAAGGCATGTGAGGATGGGGCGAAGGTTGGAGGGAAGCCGTCTCCAGCGAATTAAAGTCAAGAGCTCCTGATAGAGAAGGGGAGAGACCCTTCCCCATGTCCTTGGGAGAGCAGAGCCTGCCCACACCTTGACTATCGCCTGCTGGCCTCCAATACCATAAAAGGGGAAATCTGTCCTTTAAACCTCATTGTACCCCACTTCTGGTAACCTAGGGCAGTGGTCACAGGAACTCCTAGGAGCAGGGAGGTCATTTCTTCCTAGGACCACAGATCAAGTGGCAGAGGCAGGTGTGGCCCTGTACCCAGGTCACCATGCCTGCTATCCACACTCTCACCCACCAGGCTGCAAATGCCGGTCACCCCCTATTATGTCTGTCTTTATTTTCACCTTTAGGCTCAAGTCCACATGTTTTATGCTAACTTCTATTTGTTCTACACAACTCTTTTTCAAATCCCGCCTTGCTGAAGTCTTAGGAAACATGACCACTGGGCAAAGGAGGCCAGAGTGTATTATCTCTTACGCTGCATATGTATCTACAAACAGCTCCCCCAAAAGGTACAATCTGATATTTTCTGGGCTTTTAATTGAGTTCCATATTATTCATCTAACTCTTCATATTTGTTCTCCTTGAACAGTTGCTCAAGGATTGGGATTTAGCTCAGTAGTACAGCACTAGCCTAGCAAGTGTGCAGCCCTGGGTTCAGTCTTTGTTTGTTTGGTTTTTGCGGTACCGGGAATCGAACTCACAACCTTGCGCTTGCCAGGCAGGCGCTGTGCCACTGAACTATATCCCTGGCCCCTTGGGTTCAGTCTTTAGCACCAGAAAATTAAAATTACCAAACCAAACCCCAAAACAGTTGCTCAATACACTAACAAGGTTGATCACCATGTTCACTGCCCCAGCACCAGCAGCAAGAACAGCTGAAGGTCTTTGGGGCCCATCAGATGGGTGCTCTAAACTCTGGCCCCATTATAATCATGGATCCCCACCAGCACAGAGCTCAGGGAAAAGAACGCACAAGGCTGGATTATTTAAATTTTTAAACATAGAGGCCAAGAACTGAAAAAGTTGATCTTTACTTCTTTCAAGAAAATAACCATTCCCAAAACTGCTAAAGAAAATGTCTTTTAAACAGCCACTGAAAACAAACACCTCTTTGGCTTGGGGGATTTTTGTTTGTTTTCTGCTACACTAGTGATTGAGACCCACGTCAGCCTCAAACTCAAGATCCTTCTGCCTCAGCCTCTCGAGTAGATGAATTACAGGTGAGCACCACCCCACTTACTTTCCTGGTATCTTTTTGGGAACCAAATGGTACCTTTCACTTCATAATGGAGAAATAAGAATCGTAAGAAATCTGACGACTTCTATTTGCCACCAGAAGAGAGAGCTTGGGAAGAGAAGATGCCAACCCATCACGCCACAAGCTGTACAGCACCACGGCGCAGAGAAGCGCACTGTGGAGGGTGGGGCAGCACCCTGGACTCTCCTCCTCGGCCTTCCAAAATGCATTCCCCAACACCTACCCTGACTCTCACTGCCCTGTTCCTGATGCCTGGAAGGCTGATACGCTCCCTTGCCAGCTGTAGGTCCCGGCTATGCTAATTATCTCTGCGTAACATTTGCCATGGGTCATATCCTGCTCACTTTGCTGGTTACAGGGCTGCTTTATTCTTGCTTTGTCAGACATAATAGCTAGAAATGTCATTGCTCCACACTGTGGTCACTGTTCACCTCAATTATGCTAATTTTTCATTTTACAGAAGTTACTTTTAATAAAACTGAGTTGCTTCTTTTTTCCTTTGTCATTTTATTAAGGCTTAGAAAGTTATCAACCCTTTGAAGAGCTGATATTCAATGCTATTTTCAGCTAAATGGCTTTTTAAATACTTAACCCTATAGGCCACCACTGCTGAGAGTACTCTGTGGTAGGATGAGAAGGATGGACCTTAACTCTTAGTTTCAACCATCTATATGTATTCAAGTGGTCAGGATACTGGCCTGATTCTGCTTGTCCCTCTCTACTTGGGCAAGAGGAGGCCACACCCACTGTGGGTGGGTCCTAAACGAGCTGTTTGCCAGCCGTGCCAACTTAGAAAAGTCACTTGCTCTCCTGTGACTAGACTTCCTCAACCATAAACAGGAAAAGCTCTTTCTGGGGTCTTATGGCAGTCAGATTAAGCTAGATAGGACAGAGAAACCAGCCTGCACCTCGATCTCCACACCTGTCTTTTCATCTCATCCTTCCACATTAGCTGCCCCAACGCCACTGGATCCTCCTTGTCAAGCCTTGCTCCTACACTTGGACAAAACACTTTTTGTTGCTTATGCATGTTAACAGCTCTGCACGAGTGCTCCTGAAATGTGTGGATATGGATTTCTCAGGGCCAGTCTAGTAAACATGGAAAGTGAAGAAATAACCCCAAGGAGACCTTGGTAAGATGAAGAAACTACAAGCATTAAGCAACAGGAAATAAACAAAAGGAAAGCTAATTTTTAAACATAAAAGGCACGAACAAGAAGGAAAAGTCTAAGGGCAAACATTTTTCAAACACATCCGAAGCTACAGTAATAATACTGTACTAGAGTTTAAAATTAGGAATGCTATCGTCAGAATAAACAGTCTAATCCCAGCGGCAGGCCAGCCTATAACCATGCACAGGAGGGGACAGGAGCTACATCCCTAGCCCCTCAGTAAGCCAAGTGTGTGGCTGCAACCTCAGCACTGAGGAAGGCTGAGACAGGAGGCTTGCAATTAACTGAGTAACTAAGTGAGGTCTTGTTCCAAAAAATAAAAAAGGGGCTGGGGATATAGCTCAGCAGTAGAGTGTTCCTAGTTTCCATCTCTAGTACCACTAAAAATATTTTTTAAATCACACTTACTGCATAGAGCCTGAGAGGGCAAAGAGATCGTAATTCTTCTGTTGCCTTATATTCTCAAAAAACAAAGAAAACCCTGATCACTTCAGAAAAAGCAGCTCATGTGGGGCAGGGAGAGAGGAGGGTTGGATGGGAGAAGGCGTTTTGCAGGCAACAGAGGACAGAGCATGTGGGAAGAAGCAGAGCCTCGGCTTCCTAAAAAGCCATGCTCCAGTCTGCCCATGTTACTTTATGGCCTCAATCCAGAGTCTGGGACACACTTTGGAATATAAAATGTTATAGACTAACTCTTATGAAGCAGAACCCTGGGGTGCAACAGTTTGCCACATACTCTTAAAACATTAGTACACGAAGCCAAACCAGAAGAATCAAAAAATCTTTAGGGGTTCACTTCAAATATCACTTCTATTGTTATGAGTTCTAATTTACAAATAAACAAAAGCTGAGTAACACAAACTAATCACTTCTACTAAGATTCTCTTAGAAAACAGATAATTGTGGATAGCTTGAAAAAACTGACCAGCTATAACAGAGGAAGTGACGTTGGACCCTCATGGTGACCACGAATTAAAAAGACCACAGAGTAAGACCAAATGTGAACTTCACAACAAGTACAATGAACTCTGCTTCACTTTCTACCAGCAAACACGAACGCTCCAGGTCAGCAAACATTCACTGAGAACCTGGGATGCCAAGGACACCTCCACCTACAGCTCCAACCCTGGCATGGGGGAGCCCTCTGAGATACTGCCAGGCCCCTCCTGATCAAAAGGCCACATATTCCTGGCTGTCACCCCTCACTGGATGTAAGGCCCAGGAAGCCCGGTTTCCCTCCACCCAGCACCCACTGCTCTCCAGGCTCCAGCCCAGCGCAGGAGCTCAGGAAACACAGCCACTGCCCTGGTCGCCTGTGACTGCCAAGAGTCACAGCACCAACATTACAGAGTCCCCTGCTCCACAGGGAGGCTTGAGTTTTTTCCTAAGGTAAGAATGTACTCAACATTTTAGCATGTTTTCTACCCAAAACAAGGCTAAATACAGCTTCAGGCTTCACATAGCTTAACTTTTATTATGAGAAATACTCTTGTCATCC